TAAAAACTGTAATGGCCAAAATATAATAATATTTATAAGTACATGTATTATTTAATATATTAATTACTCGTCAAGTAAATAAATAAACAAATAAATATACAAAAGTTATGACCTAATAAGATCCGACCCTTGTTGACGCGTGTTATTAATAATTTGTCCCTTGCATTAAATCATTAGCCACCCCAGCCGAAGTGGAATGTTCAAACTTCAAACTGTTTTTTATCACGAGGCTGAGACTAATCGAATCAAACACACTCTTCCATTCTAACATCAATAATCAAATATACAAAATACAACAGTAATATAACAAAAATATAGAATATTCAAACATGTCACCATCTTATTTGATACAACCATTCAACACCTTAGTCCTTATAACCATATTATATTTTTCGGTTTAAATATTTATTTATTACTTATTATAAGGATCATTTACTTTAATACATTCTTGACTTAGACCCATAGATCATAATACATGGAACGACCTAATATTTGGTTTTGCACTTATGTTTGACAAATATGTATGATTTTACAAGATCATCCAATAAAATTAAAGACGTTATTTTTTTTTTCTTAGTAGGATATATTTTGTTTTTTTCATCGATTAAATCATGTATACATAAAATTGTTTAATGAGAGCAAGATAATATGTTTTAAGATAATGCTATGTGTTATACCAAGGCTACTGAAGGCAGGGTCTGACATGGCCGATGGGCACAGACAGGAACACCACGCCACCTACACTCCTACAGCAGCACATGAAAATCTCACCCCGTCTTGGGCAGACTCCTGATTTCTCTTTCCTCTCAACGTTGCCCTTTCTTTCTTTTCCTCAGACAATTTTTTTTTTATTTTGGAGATTGTACATTAAAATTTTGTACATGGTTCATTAGATAATTATATATTTCTCTTGAAAAATGATATATAACATGATTTGAAAGAGTAGGTGAAAATGGAGATAATTAAATGAGATAATGTTGCACATGAATAAAAAATATAAAGCGTATAACACACCCTAAGAGGGTGTTTGGATAAATTAGCTTATAGCTTATTAGCTTATAGTGGTGAGAGAAAACAGTTTTTGTAAAAATGTTTGGATTAGAAATAAGCAATAAGCTATAAACAAGTGGGAGATGCTAATTAAAATTAGTTTATTTAGCTTATTCCCATCACGATAAGCTGATTTTTAGTGTTTCCTATCCAAACACCTATTTGATATTGGACTGACCGAGTTGGGTCAGAAAAACGTGTTTGATAAGCAATTTTTATCCATCTGACTCGAAAAGATGCATCTAACCCGGAAAGGAAATCAAATTCGGTTGACTGAGGAAATGAAGAAAAAATTCCACGCATACCCTTTCCCCTAACGAAGCGCCTCCCTTTCAACTCCTTTCTTCTGTCGCAACACCAGCAAGCGACGTCACCAGAAAGCACCAATCAAGCACCGATCAAAGGTTTCTCATTAGGTAATACTTTCGATTTCTCCTTCCTCGTCTCATAATACTTTCGATTTTAGCCATCGTCAACCAGCAACATCGATTTCTGCAATAATTGTTGTTTCGGTTTTTGGTGATTTCGATTTTGGCTTCCTCGTTTCGATTTTTGCTAAATGTTGTTGAAAGTTCAACTTTTGCTTTTTCGAATTTTGGGTAATTGAGATGGATAAATGTTTACTGATTTTGTTGATAAATGTTTACCGAAAATGTTGTTGAAAGTTTGATTTTTATTGTTTTGAATTTTTGAATTTATGGATATGTTTACTGATTTTGCTGATTTTGTTCTTGATGAATTCATACATTTGCTGATGAAAGATCTTCTAATGAAATTGCAACGTTTTAATTCATCAATTTTTAAAAATGTTGTTTAGTTGTTCATCTCTAGTTTTCATAATTCTGTTTCTAGATTCATTACAGAACTTAAGATTAATCTTGCAGTTTACTCTTTTGTTTTACATTGTAGTTGAAATTCGAAATGGAACTCTAGTGAAGGATCAAGATTTGAAGTTCATGCAAGAATTTAAGGTTTTGATGATCCAATTGTCTAGAAGTTAATTGGTGTTAATTTGATACAAGTGTGTATTAATGATTTTGTAATCAGTAAACTACTTGTTGATCAGCTTAAAAAGTTTTGAGTTGCTAATTGGTGTATTGTTGATTTGTTTCGTTATTTATGACATTTTCATGAGCAGGGGTATTTTGGGTACAAAAATATTATATGTATGTTTTGTTCTAAATGTTGAATCAAATTTGTGTTTATAAATGTATGTTGTTTTTTTATTTAGCCAATTAAATCATTATGTTCAGATTAAGCAAAAAAAAAAAAAAAAAAAAAAAAAAAAAAAAAAAAAAAACGCATTCGAAAGCATTGAAAAGTAAAGATAAATGAGAACAAGATTGTAAAAATAAATAATTCGCAGGCTTAATAAGAGAAATGTTTTTTCGTTGAACAAATTCTTTCTGCATTAAGTCGAATCCCATAAATATTATCCATCCATCACCAAAATTAACCTCACATTATAACAAAATTCAAAGCCTGATTCCCTTCAAAACACAATCAAATATACCGAAAAAAAAAATCCAAAACCCTATTTAATTTTCTGTTTCTTTTGCTTCTTATACTCTTTATAAAGCCGTAACCCTAATTTCGTTCGTTCCAACTCCCTTCTCAACCTCTCATTTTCCTCCATCTCATTCACAAGCAAGAAATGCTCCGACAACTTAACCCTCACCGCCTCCTCATCCACCACCGCTCCACCATCTGCCGCCTCCGGAGCCGCCGGCTTCCCGCCCTTCTTCCGCTTGTTTGACTTTTGACCACTCTTGGGAACAAAGCTCTCCTGGTCAACCTTCATGTCCATGAAAGCTTGTTGAGGAGAAACATTTGCTCGATAAACTTGATCATGTGCATTTGTAATTGTTGAAATCCCGGATGCCATTGTTGACACGGTTGGATGATAATGTTTTGATACAAGTGTTAGTTCCCAAAGAACCGTTGCAAATGCACCACTTAGGCTTGGATCCGTAGCATATGGTTGATATTTCTACAATTTCATATGAATAGAATGTTATAAATAACAAAGTAATGAAAGTACATTGCTATTTCTTGAAAAGGGTACGTTTATATAGTCTTACCGTGATAGAACCTGAAAGCGAGCCACCTCCCACATCATTTTCTAAAAGATCGCGACACTTGACGTTTTTTTGAAGGAGATGCTTTAAAGTAACCAACGCTGCATGACAATAAAATAAAAAGTTTTAAAAAAGTCCGACAAGATATGACAGAACAGAATAGGCGTTGTACTGTGACATGACATGACAGAATAGGTTGGACTGTGTTTGACATACATCGACTGACAGGGAGAAAAGTTGCAATTTTCATCCCAAGCAAAAAGGTTGGGTCAGGACTAGCTCTCGATCACATGTTTGTGTAAAAAGACATAAATGCCCTCCTCATCCTGATCGCTAAAATATAACCCTAGAAAGTATTGGGGGTTACCAGCCATGGATTCTGCAGCTCCAAAGCATAAAGAGAACGAAGCCAAACGTTTAATAAAAGCAGCAGCTCTTTGCATGTCATGTTGTCGATCATCACACAACATTATCTTCATGGCTTCAGCTAAAACTTCCCCTTGGTCTCTATAAATTTTAAAAAAAAATTATTAAAAATTCATTCTTAAACTTGTAAAAATTTAATTTAATATAATATTACAATTTATGAATACTAACCTCCCAGGTCTGTATTCAAGTATGAGATTATAAAGCTGAATAAAAAAGTCTTGTAAATCGACATTTAGAGCATCAAGATTGCTCCTCATCACTTTGAAAGCAACTATGCAACACCTCAACCGTTCTGACACAGTCAAACGGCTTGAATGACTGGAATCAGTGATTCCTCCACCATTGGAATCGCTAGTTCCTCCGGCAAGCTTTCTAAGATAGTTCATTAAATCAGCCATGAAATCCAAATCGATTAAATGAGAGAATTTCCCAATTCCATTCAAACATGGAGCAAGAAGTGGATGCTCCCCAAAAGGACCAGATATCGACTCGTTTCCTTCTTTTCTGAATCAAGAAAATGATAATATGTTTTAAAATATGATATAATATTCGGAAAATATGGTTTTAAAATACGGAAATACATACCCTGAGTGCATTGTATGCTTTAAAATACGGAAATATGTTTGAAATACAGCTGAAAGAGTATCGGATTGTATCCTTCTTTTTTCCATTGCATCTTGTGCAAATGATGCAGCCATGAACTCAGCTTTGACTTCCTCTCGAGTCTTTGACATCATTTCTTGTTTATTTTTCTTTTTATCACTAGCTGGCACTTGATTTGGATCATCATTTCTTCTTCCTTTTTTAAAATTCTTTTTTTTGGTCTTATTGTCTAGTTTTTTAGGAGCTTCAGGCTTCCTAAGATCCTCATCAAACGAGAGGGACAAGAAAACCTGCATACAAAAAAATAAAATCCAATTAGTAATGTCTCACATAGTTTAAAGCTCTTAAAACATAAGAATTAGAGTAAACTACAGGTTTAGTCCCTGTTCTTCACTCAAAGTTGAAAATTTGGTCCCAACAAGTCATAAGTTTAAATTCCTTTGCGTAATTGGTCTCAACAAAATGCAAACATAAGGACAGCTTCAGGAACATTTCAAAAAATGGACCAAACTTGCTATTTTGAGTAAAGGAAAAGGACCAAATTTTAACTTACTCTAAGAACTATAAAATATATATAGAAGCACACGGATAATTACCTCAACAGAATCAGGATGTAAATCACAATCATGGGCTTTTACAAGATTAGCAATAAGTTGAACAGCCTCCACAGTAACTTCACCACCATGTTTTCCCTCATTTGTGAAAAGTGACTTAATTGTGTTGCAACACAGTTTTCTGTTCACATGTGTAGTACCATTTTGATGAGCCAAAAGAAAAAGGGTAATAACGGAAATACAAAAAACAACATAAAAAGTCAAAGTAAAAACCTTATGACATCATCTGTGGAGCTTATATTCTTCATAACAACTCCCAACAAACTTTCACGAAAATTGAAACGTGGGTTTGCCTCCAAAAGAGTACAAATGCAACGAATGGCTACACGTTTAAAACCAGCTACTTTTTCTAATCCCATTAGCTTTTGAAGGTATGCCTATTAATATTCAACCAAATAAAACATTATTATTTATAATAGGTTAATAACCATAAATAGCTAAAAACAATGTGAAAATCAAACCTTGTACACAGTTAAAAGTGTGGATTCATAGAAACGGGTTTTCTTGACATCCTTTGACACAACCATTGCTAGCTCTTTATCAGTAGGTAGCCTAATTCGGTTTCTGTTTTCCACAATGATAGATAGTTAAAGATTAAAATAACATTAATACAAGCTAATAGCATTTATAAATTTATAAATAAAAATATTATATACCCGGGGATGATGTCTTTGAAAACGGCTAGCAAAGATTTTAGACCTAGTATTGATATAGCTGGATCTCCATCTTTACATAATTGCAGCATTTCTTTTAAAGATTTTATATTGCCTTCAGGATCTGTGAGCATTGATGTTCCAAGCTCAGCAAGCCTAAATTTCTTCTTCTCATTGGATTCTTCAACTGAGAGATCTTTTTCCACCTCAGCCTAGATGATAAAATATATAAAATAGTTACATGATTGAAGGGTTGAAACAAGAGAAAACATTTATAGTAAAATAAGTTACCAAAACTTCAGCTTGAGAGGTTTGTTGCACTTCCTCCACTTCTTTTACTGGTGTCCCTTGTTTCTTTGCCTCTTTCCTCAACTTTTTAAGTTTTGCCCTTTTTTCTGCTTTTGTCAACTTCACAACACCATTGTCATGGGCTATATCGTCATTTTCACCCACAGTTTCATCCTCGATTTGTGCATTCTTAAAATTATTTGGGCCCTTTGACACTACATAAAGATGTCAAACAGAAAAGTCTAAAAATCTTGATTCTTGATTTACCAATGTGTAAAAGCAATGCTAAGTTCCAGTTACCTTTTCTGTAATAGACTTCTCCATCTAAGGTCTTAACTGGGAGAGCATCTACAGGATCAACTTCAAGTTGAATATTGTCAGTAGCTAATGACTTTTTCCTTGATCGTTTCTCATACAAAGACTCAAGAGCATCTTCTTTCACATCAGCAACACGGTTGATATGTCTATAATGAATTAAATTATTAAATGAAACAATGAACACATGTTATGAAAGCATAAAGACTGAACTTGTGTAGTTATTCACCTAGTAATTGACTGGGTATCCAGTTTTGATACAAAGCCAGCATACTCTTGGTTTTTATTGACAAAGTCTAAGTCCTCATCTGAGACTTCAATTTCATCCTCAGGCACATCTGGTGGAAGCTCTGGTGGTAGCACCACTTTCTGTTTCTGTTTCTTCTTCCCCATTATTTGATATGGCGTTAAATTGTTGTCTTAATAGTCCTTCACAAAAGAATCAACATACTAGTTTCAGTTTCAGTTTGATGTAGCCTCACTGAAATTGGTTACAGTTTAAAAACAGCTGTATTAAAGATGCAAATGTTGCATATAATACATATAAAGTTCAATGTGGTAGGTTATCGATTACATGTTGAAGATTCGTCGAAATAACACAAAGCATAAGAGTAATCTAAACAAATATTGTCCTTTTCCTTAACTGAGCTTAAGGAAATACACTAATTGAGTTGACAAAGAGTAAGCATCAATCTATCTTGAAGAAACAGCTGGGTAACTAACTGTTTCGTAACCATTATTCAGCATATAAACATAATGAACAGATTAAACTCAAACATAAGCAATCATACAAACACCCCAACTTAATCAAAAAATGGTACAGTTTGTAGTAGTAAACCCAAAGCATGAAAACCAACCGAGTTCTCGTATCAAATCGAAGTTCTGAAATCTTTTCGGTGCGTTTCGTGAGTAGCTGTAGCGAAGAAGTGAAGACGTACCTGTTAATGGCGGGGGTTCCTCGACGGAAGAATCGGAATTGGGGTTTAAGCAAAACCCCCAAATCCAAAAACGAATAATAATAAATACGTTAACCTAATATACACATGTAAAGTCCAATGGGCCAAATTTGATGCTGGGTGGGTCCATCGTTTTGGTTATGGATCCAAACAACAAACTTTTATATGGTTCGGGCCAAAATTTTCTTTTTTCTGTCAAATATGATTATAGAGAGTATATTGGACTTTGTTTTTAGTAGAACGTTTAAAAACTTGTAAATTTTTAAATACTTAACGAATGAAGTGGACAATATGATCTCTCATTTTGGGCTTAAAAATCCAACCTTTTGAAATAGATATGAAAGTCGGATATTAAATTAATGAATCAATAAGTATAAATGTATAATCCTTATAAATGATGAAATTTATTAAATAGTATTTGATAACAAGTGTTTGACATTTTTTTAATGAATATTGATTGCGTCTTTTTAATATTATATATAATATTATTAGACGTAACCTTATGAACAGTGGATATTTTAGTTGGCTAGAACCTCTGAGCTATTGGTTCAAATCGGCTTCATTTATATCCGACGGCTTCGACTGATACGTGTTCTTTTAAACCCGTGCCACAGCTTTTCACTTCCATGCTTCTTCCACCTTCTCTCTTCTCAATTTCAAACCTTATGCGACTTCTTTAATCTGTATCTTGAGTAATTGGTGGTCGAAACCCCCTCCTTCCTCTCGTATACCTACTGCTTCTCTTCTATTTCGACATCTACACACATCACCCTCCTTTTGTCACCTTCCTTCTACACATAACAACGAGCACCAACCAGAGCAGCTGCTTAACCGGAGATGGTTTTTTTTCTTGTCGTTACCATTTTTACGGTTTAAAATTAAGTAAGCCCTAATTCGTTTCTACAGTTTATAGTATCTCATTCTCAAGATATTCAATGAATTTCCCCTCTTTCATGTGAAACTTCAGATATATCGATTTATAAAATTGTTGTTTTGTTGCTACACTCCATCACTTCCTCCAAACACAAGAAATTTTGATTATTTTAGAATGATTGTTTCATATTTGATGTTACTATGCAAAAGGATAAACACATTATATTTGTTTTAGGTGCAATCTGATAAATACCTCCGTCCCAAATTGATAGTCCACTTTTGACTTTTGAAGTCTTTTTTCTTTAACTTTGACCCTAAATATTTTTGTTTTTGATAGGTAATACTTGATGCAAAATATATGAATGGATTGTATTTTAAACGTTTTTTCATTGTTATAAGTTTTATCAAGTAATAGATAACACAAATAAAAATATTTAAGGTCAAAGTTGAAGAAAAAAGACTTTAAAAATCAAAAGTGGACTATCAATTTGGGACGGAGGGAGTATTACATATGACCTATCTTAGTTGTGGAGTCAAAATCATTGGCTTGATTATTTGAACTTTTTTGATAGGATGGTGTGTCATTGATTGAATATGAGTTGATGGAATTGTTATTTGTTGTCATTTATTACATTTAATTGTTTTATACATATTATGAAATTGGAGCGTCTTGTTGTTGGATTTATCATTTGCTTTGTGATTATTTGTACCAGTAATCATTTGTTTGTGTATTTCGCTTTGGGTTTCAATTTTCAAAAAAATCTACTCAATTTGCAGTTCTTAAAGGAACAAGCATCTACGATCCATATAATTTCTTTAAGTTAAGGTATTATTTGTCAGTTTCTCTGCATATCATTTCTCAATTTGGTTGTTTGTGCGACTATGTTTATATTGCAATTTTTCATATTAGTGCGTCAGTTATGAAATTCTTGGTTATATGCATGCTTAGTGGTGGTTTGAGTTTCATTGTGCTAGGTTTGGTATATATTCTTGTTGGAGTTAGTGTCCAAGCTCATTAATTATTTGTAATATTTCTAAATAATAACTAGGTCCTTTTGGGTTGACCTCATGACACAATTAGCAATAAGGAAATGAAGAAAAATAAGTTATTAATTTATTAAGTAATTAATAAACTAAATGGGAATTATTTTGGTAATTAATTAAAATGTTTTAATTAATTAAAAGGCTTGAATATTAATTAATTTCTAAAGATTAATTAGAATATTCTAGAAGCCTCTTTGAAGAAGATGGAACAGAATTAAGGATATATATTATTGTATATGACAAGTTTTGACAAGGATAAAGATTATCCTTAAGAATTTGACTGGCTTGATGATTTAACTGGAGCCTATAAATAAGAGGCTTGGGATCAAACCCAAGGGCATCCTAACTCCCAATTTTCTTTCACCTTCTATCCTATATCTCCATGAGGTCGAAATTTATATCCTCTCTCTTGGGATATAGAAATTTCGACTTATTCCTCATTGGGGTTTTTCTTGTTTGCTTCTTAGAGTCTTGGTTCTGACTACATTAGAGGGATTCTCATTTGGATCCTTCATCCTTTGAAAGAGTTGTCAGTCACATGGTCTAAAGATCAAGAGGTTAGTGTTCTTACCTTTCTTTAGTTCGATTTCAAAGTAGGTTGCTATAATTAGTAAAATATAGATCGTAGGGTATATACATATAGGGATTTTGTTTTTGTTTTCGCTGCCTTGATCGTGTGTATAGATGCATAGAAAACCGAACAATTCTTGCATCTTCAAAAGCTACGAGGCTGAATATCAAAGCTATTTTTTGCTCATTGAATTAGTAACTACTCAAATTAGTTGTAAATTTGAACTGGGAAAGCCATTTTGCGCTCATTGAATTAGTAACAATTCAAATTAGTTGTAAAGATGTTCTATCGAGTGTTCAATATGGTCTTTATAAATCCCACAAGCGATGCATAGGCTGTAAAATCACGAGTGTATTTTCACAGCAAATGTAGGGGAAAATGAGGAATATGTGAGTGGATAGAGTGGATATCATTTCCATTCCACACTTAATAACATTGTACTTTACTCTTTGTAGCTATGTTGGTTGCTCTCTCTGGTCTCTCACTAGTTACTTGCTAACCGGGGTTCATTATTAATAAAATTTGTCGTTTCCAAAAATAATATATAACCGAACTTCTAAGTTTTTCATATATTAAGACTAGTGAGTAAAAAAACACCACTGTGTTCTCATTTAAAAAAAAGTGAGTTTTTAAAAACAATTAAATGTTATTAAACAACTAGCAAATAGCTACCATAATAAAAACAAATACAATAAGACACGGGTCTAACATGTGCTGTAAACAAATTTGAACGCATATATTGTTTTAGAAATCATTTCACGATAAATCAAGTAGCAAAAGGTTGAAGATGTATTTATGATAACTACTAGCATCCATCGGTCCTTAGTTTACGTCAACATATGCTTCCAATTTTCAGAAAATATGTTTTTATTACACATGTAAGAATGAAAAATGATTTGTGTTGCTTATAAATATATGTATTAATTATTTAAGTGGTGGTTTCGGAGTTTAGCTTTCAACTTTGAGCATACGTGGTGAATGACAAACGAATGGACGATCATCAATGGTTGCTCAAGTTTTAAAAAAAGAAAACAAATACATATATATACGTCATAATAATATAGAGTAACTAAGGTTGGTGGAAATTGAATTAAAGGTTATAATTAAGAAAACATAAGTATTGGTGGCATCATTTAAAATGTGTTAGGTATATTGAAATAACAACCCTAATAAAGTCATCTGAATCATTTATTATATTTATTTCATATTTGTTTAGGTATATGCTCTTTTCAACCATTTATTATATTTATTTGTCAATCAAATTTATTACTTTCAAACACATTTAAGGTTTTGTATTGAAAATTATTCATTTAATCTGATCCAATGGACCATTTCATTTAGTTCCCCCACCTTTAAATTGGTTCAAATGATCTTAAATTCACGGGTTAAATAATATTGTCTATGAGGAATATATGAGGAATACAAGAGTATAAAATTTATCTCATATTCTTTAACGGTAAAAAGACAAATTAAAATTAAAGACTAGCCTGAAATTAGCCATACCATAAGTGAAAGTACGAAAATTGAAATTACAAGAAAAAAAAAATCTACAAAGAGCATAATGGAGACACACTCCACACTAGGGATGAGCATTAGAACCGCCGGAACCGAACCGGAACCGGAACCGGAATTGGTAACAAGGTCCGGTTACAGGTTCTCCATTTTTATGAAAACCGGTCCCGGTTCTAAAAACCGGAACCAATTTGACATTTTTTTCGTTTTTTAAAATGCGCATAAGTCACTCATATTAAGTCGGATTTACTGGATTTTTTTCCAACATGTAATTTGGAGTTTGTAATTCATTTTTGACTCTACAAACATGCATATTGGTTAGATATTGAATCATACACATGTCCTGGAAGAAAAAATATTGATGCTGCGTTTTTTCTATTTCAGCACTTTTTTTGTTTTTTTCTTTAATTTGTTCCGTTTTTTAAATGTGCATAACTCATTCATATGACGTCAAAATTACTTCATTTTTTTCCAACATGTAATTTGGTGTTTGTACTTCATTTTAGACTGTACAAACACATATTTTGGTTAGATATTGAATACGCTATAGACCCCGGAAGACAGCATATCAATGCTGCGTATTTTTTGTTTCAGCATTTTTTTTTTTTTGGAATCTGTCCCGCTTTTAAAATGCGCATAACTCACTCATATGAAGTCGTAATTACTTGATTCTTTTTTCATCATGTAATTTAGATTTTGTACTTCAATTTAGAGTGTAAAAAGTCATAATTTGGTTAAATATTGAATTATTTACAAGCTCCGAAAGATAACATAACGTCTACAACATTTCAACCGGTTCTAATTTGAAAAATAACCAGAAAACCGGGACCGGAACCGGAACCGGCGCTAGAACCAGCGGTCCGGTTCCCGGTTCTTATAATATAGGAAAACCGGTTCTGGTTCTAAAGTTCATCCCTACTCCACACCTTCCAATATATATTAAGCATTTTTGCCCTCAATTGACCCAAGAAAATACAATCGTCATTATATGACCCATGATTTCATAGGAACATTGTCTCACCTTGTTGAAGATCGCCTCGTTACGT